ACAGTTGGCAAGCAATAACACTTGTTGCTGATACAGACTGAATGTAGTCCTAAAAAGGACTAATTGTTATGTAATAAAAACTGCGTACATAAGAATATGTAGGTCACTGCTGAAATCCACAGAACTAAGCCCTGCTTCACACCTAGGCAGCACCATTTTTGCCCGTTTGTACGCGAGTTAGTAGCATGCGGTTATTTGCACATTTATGCGCATTGTGCACGTTTGTATGCGTGTTTGGATTGGCAGCTCCTAAACCATTGTGGGCAATGGAAAAACGCACATATAAACGTGCAAAAACCCTCACGGAAATGTGCTACATGCTTATGTTGTGCGTTTTTGGTAATTTCCAACGAAGTCTATGGGAGTAAAATTGCTTTTAACTGCCCAAAGAAGCTCCTGTATCTTAAGGCATCTGGCGTTTTCTTAAGGTGTCTGGCGTTTAACTACTAGGCGTTTTTCTGCCCAGGTGTGAACCAGGGCCATTGAAAATTATGTGATTTCTTGGCTTGGGCAGTTAAAATCGCTTTTCAAACTGCTCAAAAACTCCTAGGTGTGAATCAGGACTTAAGCACAGTATAGCTACACTTTTACTATTATAACAGATTATCAACTCTACCTACATAAGCCTTGACACTCTGGCAATATGGTTGCTGTGAGTCAACCTTTGTATAGTGAGGGGGCTGGCTTATCCAAAAGCTCCATTAATGACCTCAGCTAAAGGGCTTTGCAGTGCATTATGAATTTTAAAAAAAATGAGTCTCTGCAAAATCAGACAAAATCAGTGTCGGCCTGCCGACACTCTGTATCCCAGGTAAATCAGGTGGCCACGAGACCCGAGCCGATTAGGCGTGGCTCCCCTCACTGATTTGGGAATAGCGTTTCCCCCCCCGTTGGGAAGTGTCAGGTAACCCTGCTGACCAATGAGTGCTTGCCATTTGCGAATGAAATTCAAATGACAGAATGCAAGGTGAGCTGCTGTGTACGGAATACTGATACACCGGCATATACAGGCACTGGCAGAGGGGAATGAACGTTTAACCAAAGGGACGTACACGGGGGTGGGGGCAGATTGGAGGGTGTAATTCCATTTACCCCAAATTCACCTGGCAAAGTAGAATTACTTTTTGAAGGGGGGGAGGAGTAGCTCTGTCAGCCAGTCAAGATTCTACTGCTTTGTAAAAGGAGTGCTGCCAGTCTCCCTCTTTTGAATGTGCTTACAGGAGGGGAAAGCAGAAGGATTACTGCAACAATTCGCGCCTCCTTTCATTGTTTCACTATCCACTATTTAATCCCCAATCATGCTGACAAGTGTTAATATGAGCATCCCTTCCTCCCCAATGCATGTATATATTTGTAACGCAGCTAATTATTAACCAAGTAATCTTTATTGAATATCTCCATGACTTCATATTATAAAGAGGAAATTAAAGTCCCATCATGCAATACTGGACAAGCTGAGTTAGAATATCTGTTACATGAAAACATGTGGTCCCAAAGAAAAGACATAGCTTTGATGTTAAATATATTCTTCCTTAAAAAAAACCTGTAAAAACAAAATCACCAATTGTCAGAATTTGACATGCCATAATGTGGCCCCAATATACAATATAATTGCCTTTGAGGACTAGTAGGAATTATTTAGCATATTAGGTGTGTCCTTGTCTTGAGATGAAGCTTTGATCAGGGCACTGCTGGTGTAGGTCTCCAGTTCAGCACAGAGACTTGCCTGCACGTGCATATTCAGCGCAGGTTCGGCCCAAGTTAACTCCTTGGAGCAGCAAGTCTGTCACCTGATCCAATCCAATACAAGTTGTGAGGGGTGCAAGGAATCCATAGAGACCGCCGAGGAAGATGCTTAGTGGCCAAGCCAAGAAAATCAAGACCACTATCCAAAATATGCACCATAGAACACATGTACAGGTAGCCATTGTATACCTGCAGGGGAAAAAGCATAGCGTCATAAACACACAGCTGATTAAAAGTTCATGGCATTTAAAATAACAGATCATTGGTTAGTTCTGAGTTCAAATCTGAAAAAATCGTTGCAAGGACAAATAGTAGTGACATTCTACTAGTATAATAAAACCACCCTAAATACATGGTTAAAGAAAAGAGGAAAAACACGGTTAAAAAAAATGGTTCTAAATAAACGTGAGTAGTTTGACGGGCTCTTTCCTTCCTTGTAGATAAAATCACATGGAACCAGCTGCACAAACCACCCAGACCTGGAAAGCAGAAGTTCCTCATAACTGACTTTTATGACTCATACTAAACAGTAACACATGATCCTGCAAATGGCTCAATGCTGTCAGTCATGATCACATCATGTGGATTGTATGTTGAGTCGCATTGTGATAATGTGATTTACCAATTTTTTTGAATGTATGAATTTGTACAGAAGACGGGAACATCACTTTGCCCTAAAGGTATTCAGTTCAGTCAGTGAGCATATATTGAAATAATTAACATGGGTTCATGAGGTTTTTAATGGCGTGTGAGACTTCAGTCATCCATTGGCTTTTTAAAGAGTCCCAGGACTCTGTGAGAATGCATTGGTGGTGACACTTTTACAGAGTAATAGGGTCACAGAAGCTATGCAGATTTTCCAATTATTCCAGTTGAAAGGAGATAAGTGATGTCACATCTTGGGATAAAGCCAAGCAAGATATGTAACGGCTCTCCTAAGTGACGTAGGATACAGGGATTTGGTAAGGTAGATTCCTAGTTGTCCCAACTAGAGTCTACCCAAAACAAAATAACAAGAATTTTGAGAATTTACCTTTTACCTATAATAGGAACGACATGCTTTACAACAAGTTTTATAGTCAACTGAACCTTGAGCCCCTAATGGCTTTAAAATGACCCACTAGTTCTAAAGGCAGAGATTTACATACTGATACCAGCCACCAATACTGTACAGAATACGTGGCGACAGCACTAGAACTTTAAAAACTACTTCTAATGACCCCACCATCCTCTAGACCCTTGGTTCTCAACTGGTGTGCCGTGAACCAAAAGTGGTCATCACTGCCTGATGAAGGGGATCCAGTGTGACCCTAAAACATCACATTAAGTGTATCACACTATGCTACTCAGACGTATTTGATTCACTATTGGAGTGCCGGTGTCTCTTCATATTCTACGTGAACCAAAAGTGGGTCGCAACCCCGTGTTCAGTGGATCGCTGCATGCCTTCCACTTTTCTTGGTGAGAGGCTCCTCTGCCTCCCCCTAGCGCAGCACTGTCAGTTCCTGTGCTATTCAGAATATGCTGCCCAACGCCAAGTGTCAGCTTGAGGTGGGATTGCATGGGGCTCTGGCCGTTCTGGAGCTCCATCCATATGTGCATTGATTACAGCTCCCTCATGTGTCCTGTAGAGGTGCCTGGACCAGAGTGATATCACATTCCAGCTCCCGGCACCTCTACACTGCTCGCAAGGGAGCTGTACAAGCAATAAACATATGGATAGAGCTCCGTCACAGCACAGCAGCCCACATTGGGCTCCAGGCTGAGGATCCACTCCATTTCTCGTAAGGTACGGAGACTGGGAGGACCTTAAGAAAAATATGGCCCATTCACACTAGTACAGTGCATTAATCGCACAGTCCTGCGCGATTAACCCACTCTACCAGACAGTCACACCTACTACGCGTTCTGGTGTTGGAGGTATGTTGCATTGCCATTCATTTGAATGGTACCCCAAATGCACCTCCCACCCACAGCTCGATCGCCTGCACCGGAACACGCGGTACTGCAATGCCGTGCGTTCAATTACAGTGCGACTTGGGTCGCAACATAATGACCAAGAACAAATGTGGGTCCTGAGGTTGCACAGGTTGAGAACCACTGCTCTAGACCCATTGTGCCCAACATACGGCCTGCCGACACTCTCTGGGCAGCTTGTTGGGCCATGAGCCGGGTCCACCACATGTTGGGCACTTTGTAGAGCGGCAGCAGGGTGCCAGGTGCTGGAGCACTTTGTGATCCAGCACCTGGCACTGAAACAAAGCCAGTACTGTTAGCCCCACCTGACTGTACAAGTATAGTTCATTTGGATGGAGGTGATTTAGAGTGGTGTGGGAGTGTGTGTTTAGGTAAGTAACCACATTTCCAATGACCACCAATGGGGGTGTAGGGGAGAGGGTGAGGGGTTAATATAGTTCTACCACTGACTTCTAGTGTAAAGCACAACAGCACTGCAACTGACCACCAATGTTGGGGTTTAGCAGTACTGCCGATGATGCCAATGCTGGGAGTTATCATAGCGGTCACTGACATCAATGCTGTGGGTTTCAATTGCAGTCGTTGACACTAAAGCTTGGGGATTCTTACTACACCCACCCACATCAGTGGTGTCAGAAGGGGGGTGTGGCCAGCACTGTGTGACACCATCAGAGGGGGTGACACCAAAATGACTGACAGTCATTTTGGTGTCAACCCCTCTGAAAGGTTGGGCACCTCGACCGAGAGCCCGACAGCTGCATGAGAGGGGACTCAGCAGCATACCTTATTTCCCTGGATGAACGTCCCCTCCTCTCTTTGCTCGTGTCCATCACCAGGATAGCCGCCAGCAGTGAAATGCACGTGACGTCATTACGTGTGTGCATAATGACATCATGTGTATACGTAATGATGTGCGCACTGGGTCAACTGGTCAGCTGAACTGGGTGACACCTGGCCTGGTGACGTCACTGACCCACATCAATGCTGGGGGCTATTAATGCCTCCACTGGCACAAACTTTGGGAGTTACTATTACTGCCACTGGGACCAACAATGGGGCTTATTTTACTCCCACTTTCTAGCACAAGCAGGCCAAACATTTTCAGACATGAAAGTGCTTTATAGCCCATTTATTTTGAATGGCCAGCCTAACCTCCACACAGGAAAACTCGCTGCCATTGGGCGGCCCTCTGGAAGTGACAGGGGAGGGGGTGGGGGGGTGATTAAAAATATTTTTATTCATTTTTATCCCCACCTGTCTGTTGCCATTTATTTGTAGCATTTGGTCATTTTCATATAATTTATTGGGAGATGCATATGGGACTTATGGCAACATAGCAATATAGAAAGATAAAAGCACTTAAGAGATGAAACAATTTATATTGTATGTGAGGTTATCTTGGTAGCATTAAGGACACTGTGACCTTGGGGAGCAAACACATGATAAGGTTACCAGGAAACAGGGAAAGAAACTATTTTCAGAGAAGGAAAGTCCTTACTTCAGCCACATGTGGCATGCAGTCACTGCATTGTAAAGCTATGCTCTTTGCTACATGCATCAAACTGCAATCTTCAGGAATGCATCCATGCTTCATTGCACCAAATTGCACTATATACAATAAAATCAATCAGCAGGGTGAACATCCTATTCAGGAAAATTACACTCATGCATATGTGAGAAAATCCACTCAAATGACCGTAATTAGTTTTGTCCTGTCGCTGCTTGGGTGGGACTTGATTTTTTTGTCTCATGACTCCATTTTGGAAAGTTCCTTGCTTGTCTTTTTGTAAGAGTAGGGAACCTAAAGTGTGATGGACTTGTAATATGGGGATAGCACATTTGCATGTCTCAATATTTACTAGCAGCAAAAAAATGTTTCCCATTCTGTATTTGTAATATACACTGAGTGGCCAGATTATTATGACCACCCCATCAGTACTTCGTTGGGCCATGAGATGACTCCACGAGATGACTTCGTTGGGCCGCCTCGTGACTTCACGAGATGTTGAAAGGTGATGCGAGGAATCTGACACTGCACTGTTGCTCTTCTGTTGTCTTTTACCAGTCTTGCCACTCTCCATTCTGCCCTAACATTGACTAGTCGCTGACAGCCACAATACGCACGTTCAGACCCAGATTTTCGGCTGACAGTCCAGTCTTTAAACACTTTAACAACAGCTGCTCTTGAACATTTAACTAATTCTGCTGTTTTGATGATACTCGCTCCATGGCTCTGAGCGCCAACAATCACCCCGCGTTCAAAGGCTGTTAAATCGCGTTGTTTACCCATATCTTCAGAAAAAAATCTCTTCTACTGTCGTGGTAAACAACCTGCTTCCCTATTTATAATGGTCTGGCCCTCTAGCAACTTCAGCCCCAAATTATAGCTAATTTGCCTACAAACGTCAGGTGGTCATAATAAACTGGCCACTCAGTGTACCGTGTATTTCAGTACAATTGGTAATCATTTTATTTAAAGATTAGTCCATTTCACTGTTTTCTTAAACAAAAGTAACTTTTTTGAAGAAAAACTGGCCCCTGAAGCTTTTACCCATCATGTGCTAGTATGCACAGCACCACATTATAACAGACTTACCTGCCAGTGCTTCCATCTTTGCACTGTTCTTCTGGGTTTCCAGTCTTTGGTTGCTTGATTGCATGGACTCCGATGACATATGCATACGCACAGGAGTTACTTTATCTCGGCATACTAAATCTGTGCACTGAGCTACGCATGCGTGGCTCAGTGTACAAGGAAACAAAATTTCTAACAGGCAGCTAGATGCTTTTATGGCAGAAGAGACTTGCTCAGTTTCTCCTGCCATAGAAAGCCTGCCAATCTGCAATTATTTATTTTTACAACTTAACTTCCGCTGTAGATATCTATACCATAGTTACTGGAACTCTTCCCACCAATCTTGTAGTTTTGTGTGTTCAACCTTCTTTGGGTTTTCATCCAGGCAAGAGTTTCTGCTCTTCCTTTTGCTTTCTTCATAATACAAAATGAACCAAAACTCCACATGAAAAACTGGAATGGTTGCGGCAAAATGTAAACCTAGAAACTGCAGAGCAGAGATCTTGCCACCAAAATCCCTGAGAGATGCAGGAAACCAATAGGTAGTTTAACTCTTCAGCTTTTATTAAAAGCTAAAATATCCGTTCTGGGCAGAGTTAATCTTTAATGAGAAATACAAGAAATAAGTAACAAGTCC